TCTGACTAGATCAGGGTCCCTTTTTTCGACTGAGTGTTCGAGACAGCATCATAATGTGCATCCCTGGGACGAAGCACGACTGCACTTGGGGAAACAGGACTCGTCACGTCGCAGAAGCGTCCCTATTCTCGAAATGGCCGCAGCAAAGACGGCCTCAGGTGACAGGTCGAAAGCGTCCGATTCGTTACTTGCGTGTACATGTACTTGGCTCCCGATCGGTCATCAAAGGTCGGGAAAGCTTGTTCTCGTGTTTCGGCGGGACGCCGCGGGGCGCGATGGAGATGGATTGTGTATTCACTCGACCGGTGTGTCCGGCTCGTGGCAGGCTGCTGGGTGGATGCAAGCTGCTTGGTGTCTGTGGAGGATAATCATCGCCCCATGGCTGACATGGCGAGCACCGCCGGAAGGGAAGGGTCGCTCACGCAGGGCGGATTGTTCAACCTACGGCGTCTGCGCAGTGAACAGAGATGCCTCATGATGGTAGATTAGGGTGATCCACATGACGCATTACCCCCCTGTCTTGCCTTTTCCGGTAATAAATTTTCATCGTTCCTTTTTTTCGAGAAGGCTCCCGAAAATAGCTACAGGCGCTATCGACTTTGCGGTCGGAGAACGCTCGGGGCATCATCCCCCAAAAGCTGGCAGCCTGGCCCCGTGGCCCCGCAAACGAAACACACGATTGGCGTCTGCCTACGCTTGCCGTATTCGTTGGCAAATGCCTCTCGTTTCATGACTTGTAGGTGTGTCGCTGGGTGGCTTAGCGGGCGATTGACAGGTGCAGCATGAGGAAGGCCATGTGGAGACGCGACATCTCGGCAGATGTTGCTTGACGATACAACAAAGAAGCTTTTTTTTGTCTCTCTCTCTCGGCAAGCGTTGTGCTTGCAGGCAGGGTTCCATCCGGGAGAGAGACGACCGGTCAGGCTATGATGATTTGGGGGGGGGGGCGATGTTAATGCCTGAACTTAAGGTACGTATATGACAAAGGATAAGGTAAGGAACGTCAGAGTTCGGCGCGCGCTGTCAAGCATGTTTTGGTCCCGTCTGTGCCGAAGGTGG